ACATGTTCCATCATCCCTCTCTCAATAATCTGACTGTCTACATATCAATCCCTCCTGAACTCTCTTTCCTTACTCCCTTGACTCCTGCTTCCTTTCCCTCCTGAACTACCTGTCCTTACTCCCTTGACTCCTGCTTCCTTTCCCTCCTGAACTTCCTTGCCTTACTCCCTTGCCTCCTGCTTCCTTTCCCTCCTGAACTCCCTTTCCTTACTCCCTTGACTCCTGCTTCCTTTCCCTCCTGAACTCCCTTTCCTTACTCCCTTGACTCCTGCTTCCTTTCCCTCCTGAACTCCCTTTCCTTACTCCCTTGACTCCTGCTTCATTTCCCTCCTGAACTCCCTTTCCTTACTCCCTTGACTCCTGCTTCCCTCCTCTAAACTCCCTTTCCTTACTCCCTTGACTCCTGCTTCCTTTCCCTCCTGAACTCCCTTTCCTTACTCCCTTGACTCCTGCTTCCTTTCCCTCCTGAACTCCCTTTCCTTAATCCCTTGACTCCTGCTTCCCTCCTCTAAACTCCCTTTCCTTACTCCCTTGAATCCTGCTTCCTTTCCCTCCTCTAAACTCCCTTTCCTTACTCCCTTGACTCCTGCTTCCTTCCTCTAAACTCCCTTTCCTTACTCCCTTGACTCCTGCTTCCCTCCTCTAAACTCCTTTTCCTTACTCCCTTCCCTCCTGCTTCCTTGCCTGCTGTCATGCATGTGTCTCACTCATCATAGTGTCACATTGACTCCCTTCAGTGAAGTCTAAATATCTAAATACCCCCTCCCTCCTCTCAGGTATGAGCCAGCAGGCAGACGGGGGGTTTGTTAGCCCCGGGGCCCCTCAGAGCCCTCTGCTGTCCCCCCGCATGGCCCACACACAATCCCCCATGATGCAACAGGGCCAGGGCAACGCTGGCTTCCAGGCCCCCCCCGACATGAACGGCTGGCCGCAGGGCAACATGGGAGGCAGCAGGTGAACAAAATACTCTGTTGTCGTTTTAGTTCATTTTCCATGCAGAAATGTCAGAAAATGAAGTTTCCAAACGTGGAGATTTCCTGCTTTTCTGTGTTTTATATCGTGTCAAATTGACTATTTTAGGACATTGAAATGAATCTGATGAACTGGGATGGAGATTTTTCACTATTTTCTGACTTTACACACTTCAAACTATTAATCAACATAGGTTTTAGCAGATGAATCATTCATTAATGTTTGATGCAGCTTTTATTGTTAGGATATACATGTGTTGCTTATGTCAGCAGCCCGAGTTGCCATAAATGATACCTCCTGTATAAGAAACCCTCCCAATTATTTCCTCTGTGCTCCTAACGCATCGTTTCCTCTCCGTTATTAAACCCTTTCTCCCCCCTCTCCCTCCAGTATGTTCCCACCGCAGCAGGCCTCCCCCCAGTTCTCCCAGCAGAGCAGCAGCAACATGTACAACGGAGGAAACGCCATGAACCTCAACCCCGTGAACAACATGGCCGCCGGCAGCATGGGCCAGATGTCCGGCCAGATGAGCGTCACCTCCATGGCCTCGGGTCCTTCGCCGGGGCTGCCCTCCATGGGGCCTGAGCAGGTATTAACACTCTTAAAGAGGGGGAACTTAAGAGGGTTTTAGAGCCAGAAATGTCAATTTAAAAATCACTTTTTGAAGCCTAGTCAAGCATAGTTAAGGTGAGACTTAAACAGGTGTTCCTGCAATGGTTAATTTAAGATATTAGGCTATTTAGCTTCCATAACATGTCTTTATTCAGACTATTGGAAAGAAATCAAACAATTATCATGAAATATATCATAAATTGGTTCATTTGTGTCCGTATATTTCTCTTAAATCGACCAGAAGTTAGCGTGCATAATGCTTTCTTTGCATTTTTAAACATGACATTTAAGAAAACCTGTTATTTGACTCTTGGGAAGTTTAATAGTGATATATATTCGTTATTTATTGTACTATATTAGTCCCGGACACTAAAGACAAGAACATGTTTTTCATACACTAGTCCATTCTGAGAGTTTGAGCTGGTTCATACTAGTGGAAGAAAACACCCACTTTGAATCTGATATCTCTTAAATTTACCAAAAGTCACTACATAACGCCTCATTAGCATATCTAAACATAACGTGTCAGAACACTTGTAATGTAAAAAGTAACTGTCTTAATATCAGTTATCAAGTGGGGAAGTTTCATGGTGATATCTGTTAGTTCAAATATTTCCCCTATTCACATGCAGTGTTTCTCATTAGAAGACTTTAGGGTCACTTTGAGGAGTTTAAGCCTCACATCTGAACAAAATAGACCCTCAAACAGCGACCTATTAAGACTATTAATGAGGGGGAAATTAAGAGGGTTTTAGTGGAAGAAATACCCAAAATGTTACTTTAAAATCCACATTTTCAAGCATTGTTAAGGTGAGACTTCAACAGGTGTTCCTGCATAACGCCTCATTAGCATATCTAAACATAACGTGTCAGAACACTTGTAATGTTAAAAGTAACTGTCTTAATATCAGTTATCAAGTGGGGAAGTTTCATGGTGATATCTGTTAGTTCAAATATTTCCCCTATTCACATGCAGTGTATCTCATTAGAGTACTTTAGGGCCACTTTGAGGAGTTTAAGACAAACAGAATAGACCCTCAAACAGCGACCAGGGGACCCAGAAACACTAAAAGCTCCTCCTTATTTCCGTGTTTGTGTTATCGTAAGACTCTTTAAGTGTTTGGGCTTATTGAATCGCCGCACTCGTGAATAATTTACTCGTTAGTTTACGTAACTCCTGCAGAGTTCTGATGAACTTAGAGGACAATGATGTAATTATCAGCGTGCACTTTAGAGCCATTTAGCCCAGACGTTACCGAATGATGTGCAAACACTCTTCTGTCTGGACTCAGAACTACACCATGTGTCTCAGACCTGCACCATGTGTCTCAGACCTGCACCATGTGTCTCAAACCTGCACCATGTGTCTCAAACCTGCACCATGTGTCTCAAACCTGCACTCATATGGACGAGAAACAACAGATAACAAGTCAGACTTTTAATTAAACATATCAGATATATTCCCTTCTCCCTCTGAGGTGATTATTTAATGTCTTAACCTCTCCTGTTGTTGTGCGATGCTGTTGCTCGTGATGCTTTTAAGCTCAATAAAGCGGCATGAATATTTAACCTGCTGCAGTTTGATCGTCTGCACTTCAGACTCTTGTAACACGCCAGTATATCTGTCACTGGATTTATCCTCCTTCCACGATTATAGGAATATATTGGCACTTAGATTATTTCAATTATTTACCGTTCGCCCATTAGCGAGGTCTTTTGCTGATTTACTCGCTCGTTCCGAGAGGCTTTCTGATTGTTTATGGGCTTTTACAGAAGTTCAAGTTCTGCCAGTTCAAGTGTGGTGTTGCTTTGTGTTTATTAAAGGGAAAATTAACCCTTAAAATGATCATTCTCATATCACTTACTCACCCAATTTTACCTTAAATACATCGTTTTTCTGGCGGTGAACACAGAATCAAAAAGCTGAGAAGTGTCTCGGTGAATTGAAGTGAATATTGGTCATTTTTAAGAACTGAACAAATATTTGAAACAATTTTTTTATATAGTTTGTGGCTCAGAAGGAAGTCTTCGAATATCATTGGTGTATTGATATGTGAGATATTGTAAAGCCCTTTATCAAGTACGGTGGAAAGGTGCTGCATACATGTAAGGATCGTTTGTTGAGATTCTGCAACAAAGAGTTTGAAAATGAGACTGGGAAGCATCCTTATACATTTATGCTACAAAAAAGAGTTTTTTGCTGTTGTTAAAAACAGCTCCCATTTACTTCAACTCCTCAAGGATTTTCTCCATTTCTGATTCTTCGCTTACCGTGGAGGCGTTCGAGAAATCACAGGATGAGTTTTTGAAATAGACATTTCTAGAGATCACTAGATTTACTCGCGGTTTATCAATTAAAGATCCAAAGGCGGTCACATGAATTCATGTCACCACCGCTAAGCTAAAGGAGGCTAATGTTGGGCTATAAAGGAACTACAGCACGGTCACATGACTTCACGTCACCACCGCTAAGCTAAAGGAGGCTAATGTTGGGCTATAAAGGAACTACAGCACGGTCACATGACTTCACGTCACCACCGCTAAGCTAAAGGTGGCTAATGTTGGGCTATAAAGGAACTGGAACTACAGCACGGTCACATGACTTCACGTCACCACCGCTAAGGTAAAGGTGGCTAATGTTGGGCTATAAAGGAACTACAGCACGGTCACGTGACTTCACGTCACCACCGCTAAGCTAAAGGAGGCTAATGTTGGGCTATAAAGGAACTACAGCACGGTCACATGACTTCACGTCACCACCGCTAAGCTAAAGGAGGCTAATGTTGGGCTTTAAAGGAACTACAGCTCGGTCACATGACTTTAGGACTCATTCCTGCACCTCTCTAATATTATTTACCTCTGTTTTTGAACACTAAGATAAAGCCTAAGTTACATGTTGATTTCATGACTGTTTTTTATTTATTAGCATGCTAACGTGTGTGTCGTTTCTCTGCAGAAATACTGTTGACCCTCATGGAGTCGTCACCTGAACTTCAGCTGGAGAGAGGAGCGTCGGCCCTTTAAAGAAATTGTACAAACATGTAACCAACAACCCCCGCCTTCCCCCTTTCTACCCCTGCTTTTTGGGGGGGGAGACCCCGGAAAGTGATGGTGGAGGAGAGCAAGCATTCACCATAGTGTGACTTCCTGTGGGGGGGGGGTACTGACCCTGGGGGTGTTTGGGATCTTCTTCTGATGAATGTATTCCTCTCAGTGGACAGCGGCCATTTACAATCTCATCTCAAAATGACGTACACTGATTTTCGTCCGGCCGGAAACAGAGACTCCCGCCGGGTTTTGCCTTTTTTTGTTGTTATTTTATTCTGATTATTTTAGTTGTCGTGAAGATGTAGAATGAAGATCTTTGAAAACACACTGCGGAAAATGGTTTGAGTGTATGATTAGACTAATTTAGTCAAGAGGTTTATATAGTGTATTAAATTAAGTTTTATTTTTCTGTATAGATTTTAATTATTGTAGATGATTCTTTATCCAAGTAGCAACGAGAGAGACGGAGATTTCTAAAAAGTGTGAAAGAAGCACTTTTGTTTTTTTATAATTTTAACAGTAACAGTCTTCTACTAACCTGAATCTGGATTATTCTTTGGTCCTGTAGTTTCAGAAGAAGATGTCAGACATATGGTTTTAAAAATGAATCACAGAGATTGTACATACCAATAAGTAAGACGTTTCCTTTCCTATTTATTTCACCGCGTAGGGTTTGTTTCCCCGTCCGATCACGACTTTCTCGTGTGCTGGTACGATGCAGGGGGGGGGGTACGGGGGTGTGCTGAGTATACAGTGTACAGATTATCGCTTGCTTCTCTGCCTTTAGCATAGACACACCACGAAAAAAAACTCAACACAGCCATACACAAAAAAAAAGTGTGCTTTCTATGTCGTCTGGTCCTACGAGCTGCTCGGTGCAAACTGTTCCGGTGTGATGTAAACAAGCAATAACCTTTCTTTTTGTAATTTTTGTACAGTTTCCTGACTTAAAAAGGACACGTTTTTTGCTCCACGTTTGGATGCAGTATTACATTTTTTTATTGCAGTTTGTACCAGGAGAGTCTCCATCCACACGCAGCGATGTTAGATTATGCAGCAGAGGTCAGAGGTCACGCTTCACCCTGCTCTGACACACACTTAGCCATATTTATGACCTCAGGCAGTTATTAAACGACTCGCTGCTCTTTCTGGGGAGTTCAGTGTGATCCGAGTCATCCTCTCTAACCTCAAAAATACATTTTATATATATATATATATAAATATATATATATATACACAACCCAGGACAAACTTGGAGCAAGCCAAATGATCTTCACCTTTTTTCAATTGGATTTCTGAATTCTACCAGCTTTTATTTTCCTAGCTTTGAGGCCCGGGGAAAACAAAGTTGATGTCACTAAACAGGGTCCTAATGTAGAGAAGCAGGAAGTCATTCTGAATGTATTAAAGTCATTAAAGGATGTGAGCGCAGCGTTTAGTGGAGCTTTCCCATTGGTGTAAAGGAGACGACGCTGAATCTGAGAATCGTGTTCTTTTTTGGGTTTTTTGCAGACGTCTCACACATTTTGATAAATGCTGTCTTGATTGTATCATACAGTCGTGCAGAAAAAGCCTTTTTGAGCCATTAAAAAAAAAAAGAAAAAAAAAAAGAAGAACGATCACAGCCCTTTGCAAAATTTCCAAAGATTGTCAAGATTTTGAAAAATAAAACGATTTAAAGCCATGTGGTAGCAATGCATTTTTTTAGCATTTATAATGAGGACGGGAGCAAATCAATGCCCCTAACAAATATCCAGGCGTTGGACCCACTAAAACTATTTTTTTCTCGTCAGCTTTTGGTTTTAAAGAACTTTAAATGCCCTTTTGTATTGTCTGCCAATTTCTTAGAGCTAAGATGCAACCTTGAAATGCTAACCACCCTTAGCATAATGCCTTAGATTTGTCCGTTCTTGTACATTACGCCGCTGTCTGTATAAATTTATATAATGACTTGTGTACAATATTGAACGGGTGCATCATCGCTCAGTTCATCGCTCTCTTGTGTTATTCCTCCCCTCCTCTCTCACTGTTTTTGATGATACATAGGGATATTGAAGCAATATGTAATATATGGACTTTCTGAAGAAAGCTTTGTGTTTCCCCCTGGTTTTTTTTTCTGCATTGTTCACAGGAATCACACTGTATACCCGCATCCACCTTTGTACCCCTAGTGTGTGAGTGTGTGTGTGTGAGTGTGTGTGTGTGTGTGTGCGCGAGTGTGTGTGTGTGTGAGCGTTTTATGCAAAGTTAGATATACAAGAGAAACCACAGTTATGCAAGTTGTGAACTAATATGGCTTCGCTGATGCTATTTGCCTTGTAAATAAAGAATTCTGTTATTGCAGTATTTAACAGAGTGACTCTTATTTCTGTGATTTAAATATAATAACGCCCCCCCCCCCCATGCATTGATTGTATTTCCATCATGAGTGCACAGAATATGTAACGCTTTATTAAAAACGGCTCAAAGCGACTAAATAACACTAATATTCAGTTATAACGTGTTTATTCCTGTGCTTGCTGCTTCCTTCTGTGTATTTGTTTATACATGTAAAGTGTATACTGCATAGTGATACTGCAAATAAAAAATATTGATTGATTGATTGAACGATAATTGGAAATAAGATTAAGTATCTCACTCGAAAAAGCACAGAGCGATTTAAACCCCTTAACATGTGTGATATAAATAAATTGTTTAATAGCGACAAGCATGATGCCAAACATAGTTTTCCACTATTTCTTTAATTGCAATTAACAAATGATGTTACAGGGCAAATAAAAAAAGAATAAATAGAAAAAAAGTAGTTAAAATATCTAATTTTGCTCAAAATAGCTTGAAATAAAATGCAAAATTCAACAGGAAATGCTTTCAAAGTAACACTTCATTTGGTGTGAGTGCTGCTTTATTCTATGGATTTGTTTACATGGTAAGTGCATTGAATAATTTTGTTTAGGGACAAGGAATAAACCAATGACTCGTGACTCCACAGTTGTTATCATTTGCATTTTAAACAGGAAAAAAAGTCAGATTTTGCCTAAAAAAAGCACCTCAACAGGAAAATGCATTTAAGGAAGCACTCGTTCATTTATTGTGCTTGTTGCTTTCTTCTGTGTATTTTTTACATTTTAAAGTACATTTGATAACTTTTTCTTTACAGGGACAAGGACAGAAACCAATGGCACATAACAGCATATAGCCTAGAGGTTTTCTTATTTGCATTTTAACCCCCACAAAATAATGATTTGGTTAAAAAACTTGCAGTAACTCATCAGGAAAATGCATTTAAAGCAGATATCATTAGCATATAGTCAGAGGTGTTGCAGTAATACAGATTATTATCAGCTTTCTTTTCTCCTCCTAATTCACCACATCCAAGTCATAACAGCTCCATCTAAACTCCACAGGGGGGGGGAGGGGAGATGGGGGAGATAGCATCGCGTGCAGGGGGGTGCGCGTGCATTGAGATGCATGAGTCTGGGAGGACCAATAGGAAGCCTCTCCTGTAGAGACCTGCCCTCAGATGACCACCGACCCTCAGAGGTCCCGCAGCATCCTCTACATCCGGGCACTTTACACTCAAACCTGCAGCGAGAGGACATGAAGAGAGACTGTGGAACTTCTCTCAGGACTTAACAAGGTAAGAATCTTCTTTTTAATATTTATTTGCACCATGTTCTCTTGTTTCTAATTATTTATTCTCTGTATGTTTATGTTGCATTGTTTGCAGAAAGTTTATTGATAAAATTACGCTGTGGCTTCTGTGCATTTATCAATTAAATCATTTGAAAATACGCATTTATTTAAAAAAGTAGAGTTCATTGGGACGTTTTTCCTCTCTGCATTGGAACTTTTTGCATGTAATTTTAGAGAAGATAAAATGGAAATTACGCACAACACCCCTATCTTAATTTCTCCTGTTAGTTGTAACTATTCTCTTTGGCTCATATTGCTCCAACATGTCTCCTTCTCATGTCTTCATTTATTTTCTAGCTTGACAGTAATGTGAGGTTTATAAAAAGCCTTCTAAAGATCGTCCGATTTCTTTTGGAGTTCCGCACGCTCTCATCTCCACTTATCCTTATTTCTCCTGTCAATTATAATTTACTTTAAGCTCATACTCCTCCAGCAATTCCCTTGGCTGATTAAAGTGCATTGACGGTATTAGTGCAGTCTGTAAAACGCGAAAAAATAATATAAACTCCGGTTCGTCCAATTTCTTTTGGGAATTACGCACGCTTCCTAATTTCTCCCGTTAATTGTAGGTATCTCCTTAGCTCATATCCTTCCAATATGTCCCTTCCTCTTGTCTTTATTTTCTTTCTGCATTGGCAGTACCGTGGGTCTATAAAAGGCTTCATTAATGCTGACCTCTGCTCCGGCTCTCTGTGTGTAATTGGTGTCGTGACCCTGGTTTGTCTCTATTTACTGGCTGCCTGCTAAACGCTTCTTAAAAACATCTGATGTGTGTCCTCTCAGCTGGAAATACTGCACCGTGTGCCATCCCGTTAAACCGTGCACTGCTTTTACTTAACATGCAATAAAGCTATGTACAGGATTTTAAGTAGGGGTCTGGAGGACGTTTTCATTTTTAAATATTTTTTAAAAAGTCCGGATAAGTTGGAGGCTTGATTCGTTAACAAAATATGTATCCTTACAGGAATTGCGGATCAATTTCGTTTCGTTTTAAATATTTAATTTGGATCCTGTGTGCTATTTCTATTCCTTCCTTTGAAATATGTGTTACTGTGATGCAAGCGTACATTGTTAGACTATGCAAGGAGGGAAAATATCAGAATAAGACGGAAATAAAACAAAGAACATTTGATTTTAATATATCTGCATTTCCTGATTCAGTCGAGGTTCATCCAATTTAGATCCAAAGTTATTCTTAGTTGTGTTTTTGGAAAATTAAATTAAAAGGCTCTCTTATATTATAAAGAAATCAATCCAGGTGTGGTCAGCCTATTTCTTTTTTGAGATTTTAAGGACTATTAAGGTTAATAATTTAAAAAGGAAATGCTATGGTCAGCCTCTATTGAGCCTTCCGTGGATCATTTGAGACACCAGACCAAAACAAACAAAGAAACCACATTTTCTTATACATCTTTCCTCATTCGGTCGAGGTGAATGCAATTTTACTGAGATTATTTTTACCTCTATTTTGGATATTCCTTTAGGCTTCCTCACATTTTTAAAGAAAATCAATCCAGGTGTGGTCAGCCTGTGTCTTTTTTTAGATTCATTAAACTTTTATAAGGACTGTTCGGGTTACTCATCTAAAAAGAAAATCTATTTGGTCAGCCTCAATGGATTATTTGAGACAAACAGGGGAGTGAAAACCCCCAAATAAGATAAACAAAGAACATCATATTTGATATACCTGCTTTTCCTCATTAACTCGAGGTCAATGCAATTCTACTGAGATTATTTTTAGTTCTCTTTCGTATTTGTTTAGCCTTCCTCGCATTTTTAAAGGAAATCAATCCAGGAGTGGTCAGCCAAAACAAGACCAACAAAACTAAATAAAACTAAGAACCACATTTTTTTAATATATACAGTATATGCTTTTCCTGATTCACTCACAATTTTACTGAGATTATTTTTACCTCTATTTTGGATATTCTTTTAGCCTTCCTCACATTTTGAAAGGAAATCAATCCAGGTGTGGTCAGCTGTGTCTTTTTTTAGATGTCTTGCATTAAACTTTCATAAGGACTGTCAGGGTTACTCATCTAAAAAGGCTTCAATGGAGACTGTAGTGGATCCTTTGAGTCAAACAGGGGCGTGAAAAAACCCAAATAAGACCAAAACAAACAAAAACAAAGAAAGAACCACTTTTTCTTTGAATAAATCTGCTTCTCCTCATTCTCTCGGGTTAATGCCGTTCCCTGATATTATTTGTACCTCTATTTTGTATTTCTTTTAGGCTTCCCCTATTTGAAAGGAAATCAATCAGGTGTGGTCAGCCTGTCTTTTTTTAGATTTCTTTCATTCATCTTTTATCCCTCTCTCTCTCAGGTCTCCCCCTCCTCATGTCGGTGTCCCTGTCCTCCCTCCAGACCTCCATGATGATGATGAAGGGCTATCCTCTTCATCACCCTCATCATCGTCCTCTCCCCCATCCTCATCCTCACCCCCAATACATGGACTTCTTCCAGCACAACCTGCTCCACCCTCTGAAGTCTTTGGGCCGCCTGGTTTCTGACTCTCTGCAGGGAGGAGGAGGAAGAGGAAGAGGAGGAGGAGGAGGAGGAGGAAATCCACCTTTCAATCTTCAGGAACACATCCTCACCTCCTCCTCTTCCTCATACCTCACCTCAGATTTCTGCAGTCCGCTCAATGAAAGCATCTCCTCTTCCTCCTCTTCCTCCCCGCCCAAAGACACCCTCCTTCGGCCTCGCAGCGCAGAAATCTCCGGGGAGAATCGGAGTTCTTTTAATTTCAGCGAGGAGCAGCTCTTCATGGTTCTGTATGGATACTCCGGGGGTCCGGAGAGGAGCGGGGGCCACGCCATCTCCGGACTCACCCTGCCCGAAAAGACCGGTGAGAGAACGGAGGAAATTATAGAATAGAATCCTTTATTTTCATTCTGTCCAATGAGACGAGAGCTGCTGCTTTCTTTAAGGTGCCATCAAACATACAAACAACAAGCATGCATACTTCAACATGCAGATAGAGTTAAAGTGCAGGAATATATCGGTTTAAGTACAAATAAATATGTTTGAATGTGTGTACAAATATATATATATATATATATATATATAATACTAAATATATATATATACTATATAATATATATAAGGCCTATTGTGTCAGTGCAAGCGGAGTTCAGTGCAATATCTTTAAAGTCTGATTGTCTTGCTTGAGAATGCTCATTTAAGTGAACTAACTATATCAATCTTAAAATGTAGCAAACATTTTAATTTAAATACTAGAAAAACAAATATCCACTGGTCTGTTGACTCTAGAGAGATCCTGAATGATTCTAGGTTCATCTTAAGGTTAACTTAGCTATAGTTTTCTTCAATGTAACGGAGAATTAAATTAAAATACTAGAAAAAAGGTTCAAAACAACATACCACTGCTGTTTGGAACGAAGGCAACTTCTAATTATTCATTATATTCCAGTGATCATCACTACCCTGCTTAAATGACCGCCCCAGACAAACTCATGACAACCTTTTCTTCCAGTTCCTGCCTCTCACCACTTACCAGGCTGGAACAAAGAGGCACTCCTGGAGCTTCAGCAAAGGTAAGGTAGCCCTTCATCATAATCGCTGCTTTCATTGGTCCTGCGGGCTCCTCATGCTGTTGTGCTGATAGCTCTAAAAGGCTGTTCTCT